CATTTAATTTGGCTTTGACATATATGTTATGAGAAGCCTGTCCACTGCTGTGTAACACTGGGCACAGGCGCGCCTGCTAGGTGTCTATTCAATCCTGCACAGCAATACAGACATCAGCTTTTGTTGCCTTTGTGATGCCATACACATTTTTATGGTGGCACAAAGCAAAAGCAAATAGATATCTGTACTCTATGTCACACTACAATTTGTTTGCTAGAAAAGGTAGCAGTAATTTGTGCTGCTTTACTGTGGTAGACATCTATTTTCTTTATGGCAGAAAAGCCCAGGCAGCCTGGGGCTTCCCACACTCTCCAGCCACCTCTTGGGTCCCAATATAAATCTAAATGTCATTCTACTTCACTTTTTCCATTATACAATCACAATTATAATAATACTTAAATCCACTATTTGACAACTCTGAACATAGATAAACTGCAGGTAAATTCGGTTGCCAGGTAGATGTAGTTCGATGCAGTTAGATTAGTAAACCAGGCAGATTCAGTTGCCACCATCTCCACACGCGGGTGCTATCGCTACAGCTATGTCTTCACAGCTGTGGTCATGACAGCTCCCGAGTGTAGACACATCATTGGTGAAAGTCAGTTGAAGTCCAAAGCAGTGTTTCTTCAGGCTAACCAAGTAGCAGAGTAATCTGCACACCGATGTGGCTACACTATTCCCGTACTCAAGGTAACTTATTTACAGGTAGACCGGGTATCTTCATGCTCTGCTACAAACTATGGTGTAGACACACCTTGAGTTGTTTCACGTTTCAAGTGAGTCTGGGAAACAACCACTGCATCAGGCTCTTGAATTTTGAGCAGTTTTTTCCTGTGCTGTGTAGGAACTGCCTCTTTTAGCTGGAGACAATATAACGCCCAGGGGCAGGTCTGGATCTCTGTCCCTGCACATAAAGGGACAACCCACAGAGCTGCCTGCCCTCTGCCCAAGCCCTGCACAAGCTCCTGTGGGTTCAGTGCGAGAAGCTGGGGAAGAGATGCCTCCCACGTGGACCTGCAGGCTCCTGACACCAAGTCTTCACAAAAAGCATGTCAGGGCCCCAGAACTGACAGGACTTGCCTAAAAATAATGGGGTGTAAAATGCATTTTGAATTCTGCCACCTGAGACCTTCATTAACCCTGGGATCATATTCTCTAGAGTATAAAAGTATATGAACATGCTTTTCTCTGGTATAATGGGGATGGGAAATTTCTTTAAAAAACAAAACACAAGAAAAAGAGCAGTAAATACAATTTAATAGCAGGACTCAAGGAGCTTAGGCTTTAAGAAAAGCATTATCTATTTCTACATTAGTGACGTAGTAGTGGAAGTGGACAGCATTACAATACAGATTCATAGAAGATGGCAATTAAAACAATTCTAAAATTGTTTCAAGTATTCCTGCAATTTCCCTCCTAATTTTGTCATGGAATGATGTCAAACTAGTTCTTGTTTCAAATAGTTTCAAAGTGAAAAATATGCATTGCCGGGAATCTATAGATTTTCACTGTTTACTGCCTATCGATTCTTCAAGGAGAAAAAAAAAAAGAAAAGAAAAAAACCCTTAGGAACATTTTTGTTTCATTTTGTTTTAATTTCCATTTAATTTGTGATAACACACAAATATGTGATGTGAACTGCTTTCTAAAACAACTGGAAAAAAGTCGATCAAAAATTAAAATAAAGAAAAGTCATGAAAAATTGTTAAAAATTTTACTCTACCCTAACACAGTCCAATAAAACTTTCTGTCCTGTTTTAAAAACTGTGAAGAACAGTCTAATTCACCACTTGTAACATGACTTATCCCACCAGTAGGTCATCAAATCTTCCCTGAAGCTATATCATAATTTTCTCTGCGAACCAGCGCTCCACATATACTACATGGACATTTGTTAAGTCAATGCAAAATTATAGTATCTTTGGATATATTGGTCCGATTTCAGCATATATTTGTTTCCATATTTATTGATATTTAATTACGTGCTTAATTCCCACTGGTTCCAGAATTAGTAAAAGATACAATTTTCCATTTTGATTAATATTGGAAATACTATTCTCCTACTTCTTTCAATGAAAAATATTAAAACAACTGTACAATCAGAGCATGAAAACAGCAGAAAGAAAAGGCCAAGAGAAAATAATGAAAAAAGAAAATGATGCAAGTTGAGATCG